TTATAGCTGAAGTAAAATCGTAATCGGACGGGAGACAGCGCACGGAAATCGATGACAATAATTATTAATATTAAATTATATATGATGGCGGACTATATTATCTGCAGTGCAACTATATAAACTCGATAATATTTTCTGTTGGCATGTTTTTCGTATTATACATAAATGTTGAGAGACGTAGAGTGCCCTTTCTTTCCGTGATGATTTTCGGAGTGATACACCGATTTTCGATACCGCATAAATGATGTCTATTGTTGTTGTATGTTTATTCTGCAATAATAATTATGACTCCATCTTGTATAGTCTTCATGAACCCCGAGTACTGGTGATTCTATTCAAACGCGCTGTATGTAATTTTCATATTACCTATTATATTACGTAGCTATATWCTTGCCATCTACAATAACGGTTATCTGCAATAATTTATGATCTATGATTATCGCGTTCGGTCATTCGGTATTTTCGATACAATAAAATCAGTATGATGCTTTTAGCAGTTTAGCACTTGTGTGTATCACATCTTTTCCGCCTATACACTCCTCACGCTATATAACAACCTATAATCAAGTATGTGTTTATGTGTATGCGTTTGACGTGTACACTGTGTACAGTGTACATTAAAATATTAAAATGTATAATAGCAATAAAATGTTTCCAACCTATCAACTGTGGATTGTTACGGCTCGAAGTACAAAAGGTGTTGTATTATATATATATATATGTGAATTGCGAGTTTATATACCGTCCAAACCTAATAATCGTATTGCATCTGTGCAAATAGGTACCTATAATAATAATATGATATAAATCGATAACAGAGAGTTTTCGTTTAGCCTGCAGTATATGTAATGTATATATATATAATGTATATTAAGTGGAACGTATTACGTGTATTGTAAATATAGGTATATAATATATATAAAATAGTCACGCCGAAAAACGGTTAACAACTAACAAGTCGCAAGCTTATAAGTAGACTTTACTAAGTAATAATCCCAGAACTCTCTTACCGCCCAAAACGAAGCTATGGAGGTATCTTCACGATAAATGCATTTACATAAATGGGTAATGCATATACACGTAAAATTCAAACGTGCGAACTCACCTGCGCCTTTAAATAGGATGAGGTGGTACCGGCTGCCGTTTTTCTGGATTGCATCGCTGGCATAAATATACGGAGTATTGCGTAAGTATATCAGGAAAAACTCTTTAATATTAATAGTGTTATTATTATTATTATTACTTCCGATATACTACAGATTCGACGTCAATATAAGGTTACGGCGCCTTTTTAACATCTGCAGCACTAAGTGTACCGTATATACAATAATATAATATATCGATCCGGTCATTGCGGGTTAAAGGCGGGTAAAGGCTTGACATTTCTACCAATTTTTACGATACAAAGTTGGTTTCAACCTTACAGGCTTAAATGTTGATCCCAATCACGTATAAATAAAATAAATCGATATAATAACTATAATACAATAAATGATATTGACGAATGTTTATTTTACTGTTATAAATCCAATTAATATCTCGAGTTTTATAGAAACGAGCTAAATCTTTAGCAGGGAGGAGGAGTCTTGTGTAAACATTCTGCATATGGTGGTTAGACCTATAAGCTACCGAGTCCACTTCCTCGCCCTAAAACACCTATATACCAACACCACAACCGTCCACGCGTTTTATACTGTCGTAAATATTATTGTACACATTATATTATATAGTTTGAAACACAGTTTTATTTCTTCGTATAACATCATGCACATCGCTTTAACCCTTATTCGATATAGGTACTCATCATAGCGGCGACTGTGCGCGTGCGTCGTACTGGCGCGCGAGGATGAGACAAAACCGTCGTCTGGCTGTTTGTCGGGTTACGTCACTACCACATTTTTGGCTTCCAGTCCCAATAAGATTCCGTTTATAAACTTGTGTGTATGTGTGCGTATGTTTATATATATTTATATACGCACGACAAGTCTTTCGCCCCCCCCCTCCCCTCTAGAAATTCTTGGCGCGACCAGGACCCTTTGGACGAAAATAGAAGCGTCTTTAATTATAGATGGATATAGACGGGAAGTTAACCTCGGTCTGGTTTGATATTGTAAGTGTTCTGCGGCCATTCTGTACATGCCGAAGTGTACCACCCAGTCTAATCGTTCAAGAATATAACAATACAATACCATATTGATCATGTTTCAAAATATATTTGACCATTCTGTTAATTGTATTATGACAATCGGTCGATAACGTATATATACAAAAAAATTGCAGTAGGTATATACTTATTAATTATTATATATTTAATTTTTTTTTATTTATTTACTCATATACAACTGATACATTTGTAATAATTTAATACTGAAAGCTATGCATAAATAAAAAAAACTGATAGCTAAATTGACGACAATTTTTATAACTGCACTTTTTTTTTTTTTACGATGAAAGGGTGAATTTTTCGACCCACAATTTTTCGTATTGCATGTAATAAAATTCACATCACCTGTCGATTATAATATTCACCGATAATGGGTGTGTGTGAGTAACCTATATGTAATATATTTATCATGCGAGCTGCACGTATAATGCACTATATATTATACTATGTGAGCTATATAATATATATATATATACCGCATGCGTGGTGATGTATAATTGCTAAACACAAACAAAAAACACGTGTTTATGATATTGATATACAAGTTCGACACGTCATGTCGTATGCGAAACCACGTGATTCGGTCCTCTCTCTGCAGTGTTTTTGTGGGTAATATTTCGTATAATGTCGCGTATAAAAGACAAAATAATAGAACTGAATTAATCCGTACACGCGCTTGCACGTTCGCGACGCGTGTGTGTTGTGTGTACATAAGTTATAGGCATATGCTTATAGGTAAATAGCCGAATAATATATGGTGTGTATATAATACTTATGTGATCCAACGTTTGCGCGGTTTGTTTTCTTATATTTTTCTACGGTGTATATATACAAACGATACGATATTGATTCGGCGCCGTTCGGTCGTCCTCATCCAAAAGTCGGCGATAATAATAATTAACAAGTGGGAATACGCTGAGATCTTGTCTGGCAGCGACACCGGCGCTCCGCGGCCGCCCCTGAAGTCTTGTGTAAGATCAATACGCCGGCGTGAGGTCTGTAGCGTTGGCGAATAGAAAAAGGTCGTCATCCTGAGCACACGATATATATATATATATGTATATATGATGGTAGTATACCGTTCGGGCCGTCTGGGTTGGCTTTTATCGATTTCCAAACGTCGTGATGTTTTAGCGCGCATCGATATAACTAACTCATCCATCACATCCTTCTTTATAGATTATATAATTTTGTAGGTGTATATTAATATATTACTTGTGTGCGCCGCACATTTCATCACGACCGTTTGCTTTATACTGGATGAAACGAAACAGTAGATACGATATACATGGTGTTCTGAGTTCTTGCATTTACATTAAATGGAGGTTCGTGACGATCTGCAGAACGATATGGAGGCTGATGATGAATTTGTCTCTACAACTAATAACAGTAAATCATGACATTAAGCAGACGATAATATTAAATAACCTTAATAGATGATATTTGTTCATATTTTAAACTTCAAATTGTATAAAGGTATTTCTGAAATAATGAAACGATGTATTGTGTATACGAATTTCCATCTGGCATTCCCGAAAATTAAGTAAAATTTGTATTTATATTAGGTATTATTACTATCGTTTATTCGATGTATATCGATGCACTTAAATTGCATACTCAATGCGCCTTGTTAAAAAATCCGTTTGTTAAAATCAACAGAAAGTTATCTTGTATATAATATTGATTATAAAATATTTTATTTTAAACTGACGTGTAGTGGTATATTGTATATAAAAATACAGTTGATAATAATTGCTTTGTAAATATGTCTTACAGCCATGGCAGGGACGATAATATACTGGGAGCGGCCGGAGGGATAAGTGACGTACTGACGTCACTGTTATTTATTATATTTTATTTCGTATGAAAAACAAAAACGCGGGCTTTGTAGTTTGTATTTCATATTATGTTATATTGATCGACAGAAAGTCTAGAGGAGGCCTTTTGGTTGGAGGTCAAGCTCCCGGACGTTGCATTATGAGTTCATTGGTCTCGAACTCTCGAGTGTATGCGTGTGTGTGTGTTTTGTGCGAAGCTCCGAAATGCGTAAATAATCTTAATATGTATACGCCATACGACCTTCGCGGGACGACCGCGAGAATAATGTAATATTCTTAATAGTTTCTATTGTTTAACACGGTTATATACAGTTACACAAACACATATATTATACACGGAAACGAGTTATGATAATTACTCGTAATAGGTATTTGTTAATCGTGAATTATCTCCGGGTGGTTGACAATTTTCACTTTACGCTCACCGTGCTCGACCGTAGCTCATTGATGATATAATAATAATAAACCGGCTTTGCCGCGTATACGCATACATAATTTTGTATAATAGTATTCTAGCGAACTGCAAAGCGCTTGCGTCCTGATTTCCTAGTTTTTTTTTTATTGAGTAACCTTTGTTAACGTATTTATTTTGATGAAAAAAAAAATTTAAAAAAGCGTTATAGTGTCTGGTGTAAATTTATTACGTATTATGATGACTATGTCATACGCATGCGCACCAATATACGTCAGCTAGTTTTAAAAATACACACTCATTAAAAAAAAAAGCCTCCGCTAGTCCGATGTATATTATACTATATAAATTTAAGATGCGTTCGCATATATTATGACTTGAAAAGGTATATTCTATAGTTGTTTACCAAAATATGATATTATGCAATATTTATCCGATTTGCAAACTGCTGCTGATAGCATTCGATTGGAAAGTTATTTATCGTATGAATGTATTTATAATTTAATAATTAGTATTATAATATTATATTATACACTTTATTTTCATTTACTAATTTTTTTATTTTATTTTGTTTTTGTTATTTCAGCGACACAAGCCAAAACACAAATTTACCAGGCACAATATCTGAAGTTACTACAGTGTCTGATCACAACGATACATTTTCAAAACTCAAGGTATATATTATAGGTAGAAGTGGCGTACTAACAGGGGAGATATTCCACTCCCCTCAACGTTTTTAGAATTGTTTATGAGAAAACTAAAATTTAGGCTGACATGTTAATTAAAAACATTAACACTAATAAAAATTAGTAGTCTGTTAAAATGTACGACATATTCTGTTCAAGTATCAGTTGCAGATCATCTAATAGACCACCCCTGGAAATTGAGTTCCAAGTACGCCACTGATAGGTGTTACAATTTACTTATACTCCATGTATTAATTGGAAAGTAGCTCTAATTTGAAACATAATGCAAATATGAAATATTGTTGTGCCGTTTTTTAATGTAATATGCAACTATAATATAGTAAATATCCTTCTTTTTATAATATACTCTGAAAAATAATTTCAAAAAAGGCTTAAGCATATGCACAAATAAAGGGGCTGGGGCGCTAAGGTTAGGTTAGGTTAATCGGCTAATTCCATTACAGATATTATGGGTCTATAAAATTATAAAAATGACTAGTGCGCAGCAATTCATGATAAATATATATTGAAACATATTATATAAMAAATAAAAAACATTACATAAAATATCAACGAATAGGGTGTTCTTTATTACCTATATTGAATTACCGTTAGTTATCAAAGTGTGAAAACCATATAATTTTACGATATTATGCTGTATGTTTGAAAATAGAAGTTGCTTGCATGCATTCAAAATTCAATCGATTTCCAAATTGTGTTTTTCTTAAAATTATAAATATATAACTACAAAATTGCTATATTAAATTTTAAAACATCCAAAAAAGTTTTAAAGCGTTTTTTGAACAAAATTTTAGACCATGGTAAAAAGGAAGCTATTTATACCTATACATATTACATAAAAAAAAACACTACAATATGATCAATATCTGTATTATATTTCGCTAATTACCTAATTATGATATTGTGATACTGTATAATATATTTAATACTATAAAGTATAAATTTTAATTTAATTTAATTGTTTATACTATATAGTTAATGTATAGAAACAATTGTGTTTTGTAAAACAAAATTAATAACTCTGTTATTTAAAATTTTTTTATTTGTTAACACGTTTTTAAGGGATACCAATTTAATACGAATAATGTAGTTAAGATGAACAATGAAATCATAAAAAACGACTTTGTGAATGCGTCTATTTTGATCAATAATGCAAAAAAAAAGGCCAAAGAAACTGATTTGTATTTAAAAAAACTACATGAAAAAATATTGCCAAGATGCCAGTCTGCAGATATCACAAGTGACATAGTTAAAAGGTTATTTTTTTAATTAAATACAAGTATAACGTATACCTATGTTCAATACTCTTTAAGGTGCTTTTACATTAGGTCGCGAATACGAATTTTGTATACATTATACCCATAAGTATTAACGATAGGCCTTTGTACCATTCGTTAGCGTTCAGAGCTGCTGTTTGAGACGGTGGGTAGTGGCGGGAAAAATAAATAAAATTAAGAATGGGTTGAAATTCTATTTATTAATAAAAACCTCAACAATACCCTAGCTGTTATAACTGAACTAAGACCACATCACGGAAAAAACAATTATAAATGGGTATGGACCATAAATTAGGTTGCACCTAAAACAAAATTTGTATTTTATAGTTACTACTTACTAGGTTTATACCAATTGCGATGCTTATAGGCTTTTATAACCATATATTTATGTACCAACTATTATTTAAAAAATTTACAAAAAATGTTTAATAAACATATATATTATTTTCTTTTATTAAAAGTTATTAATTTATATATATATATATATAAATAACAATAGATTATATATGTATTATCATAGATTTTATAATATACTTGTACAATGTATTATTATAACATAAATATATTTTATATATTTATTGTATTATATGTTATAAAATCAATGGTACTTATTAATGTTCATGTTCATTATATTTCAATAAAAATGTTATTTGGTGCAATTCAGTTTATCAATCTTGAAAATTAACTAGCATAATAATTAGTATAATATGGAAAGGTCATTATAAGCGTAATTGGTAAATTCTCATTAAAATAGTGTTATTTGGTATAGGGTGGTTTACGGGCGTAATACGGTGATTCATAAATGTACAATAATAGTATCGATACCAAATTTCTTGATTTTTTCTGAGCTGATAAATTTGTTGAAGCTCGGGCTGTTCGATAAGTTCGAAAAACTATTCCCAAATAAAATGCTCTTCAGTGTAAATGACATTCGTGATTCATACCGTCACAACGAGTCGTTATTATTATACGTTCGCGTTCCGAGCGAATGTTTTACTTTTATAGCAAAAAGGAAAAAAATTATATGCATATAATTATAGCATTCATTCATTACAAAAATTAAAATTTTATTAACATTTTTGAATAAATAGTGAAATTATTAATGATTAATACCTACTGGCTTATAGATTTTATCAATTACAAATTTAAAATTTAAATTAACTATCGATTACCTTCGTCCTAATCTATAAATAATTATTTATATACAGAAATATAAATGCAGACATTCCATCAAAAATCACACGGCGAATTCAACCCGACCTTAAAGAAAAATTAGTAAGATCAAAAACTTAATCATTTTTTAACTTTAATTATTAATATGAATTGAATTTATGTTGAAACACATTTTAGGGAAAGAATATCCATGCAAACAATGAAAATTCAAAAATTACTTCGAAACCTAGGCCATCAACCCAAGAAAAACGTGTTCATTTTAACAATTCTTCGGTAGATTTTGGTAGAACGGACATTCCTGATAAATTGAACGACACTTCGAAATTAATTCAACTGTCATCAAAAGATAACTGCCGAAACGTTAGCATAACGAACGTGAATTTTGAGGATAATATTCCCGATGGAAGATATACTGATGATTCTAAAGTAAATAAATTAACGGTACAGCGAATTCCTTGTGTTAATTTAAAACCTGATCTAGTCACTCAAAAATTAGCTAACATTCAAATAAAACCAGATAATAAAAAGCTCTTACGGTAATAGAATATTAATAGATTATCTTAATTAAGGTGAATTAAATGTCCTATTGACCCTATTTTTTAAAAATATTTAGGAATTATAAGCCTAATGTGGCCTACCAAGAGTTCGCTTTTGGATTAGAACCGGTAACGTGCAATTGCCATTCAGTGGTTCAGCCAAAAATATCTAATGATAAAATGGTTGCTCGTCATGAAATACGCAAAATTATATGTGAAATGTTAGATAACACGTCGTCAAACTATCCTCTAAACGATCAAATAATTCTTCAATTACAGAAAATAATAACCAAATTRGAAGATACAAAATCCTCAGATTATAACGAATCAAGTGAAGTAGAAGATCTTATTGAAGAACACAGTATGGTTGGTTTTAATGAAGAAGTAATAAAAAAAAGACTGTTGGAAATAGCTGACAATTTAGTCGAGAACGAAAATGATGGTACTTGAATAAATATATCAAATTAATCAATTAGTTATATATTTTATGCAATTTTAAATAAAAATAATTTTTCAGGAATTTCATTTGATCAAATTTCCCTAGAAATTGATAACAATTCTCGTAAAGTGTTAAAACGACTCACAAAAATTAAGAAATCTATCATGGGATTAAATCCATTGCTAGAATTTCCAAATTTATCTGCAGATAAACTTGATGATGCTCCAAAATATGTTAATGAAAATTTTACAGATCATCCTCCTAGCAATAATTTATTCTCAAAAAGTAAAATATCAATATAGCATTGTTTTCTAATTGAGACTTAAATATTCAATAAATAATTAAAATTTTTTAAACTTCATTTTACAGATCTTCAAGAAATACCATCAACACAATATTTCAGCGTAAAAGACTTTTTGCGCCATGGTTGTAATTTCACAAATTTGAAAATGTAAAAATCTTTGTTATAAAATATAGAAATATTTAATATAATTTAAATATCTGAATATTTTTATTTTAGGTTTAAAAATGCATCAGTTATAAAGGAATGTGATTCTCAAATTACATTATGCTCCAACGACAACATAAATAAAAGTCAAAATATATTTAACTCTCAAAATGCATTGAACAATCAGAACAATATATCTGAACAAAAAGTAAAAATCTGTACTAACATGTACTTGTAATATTAAACTATTTTAATATTTATAGCAAATAAGTACACTTTTAAATCTTGAATTTCTATTGGCTGTCTTAATTTGTCTTAAATGTAATAAAAGCAACTGACTACCATTGCTGGTACTAATTATATTGTAAACATAAATAAGATTCAATTTTGTAAAATATTAAAATTAATTTCAATAACATTTTTTATAGGGTTGAAATGTTTGAAAATGTTTTATAATATTTCTCATAAGTAGTTATGATGGTAGTTGAGAAATATTAAAGATCCATACTCACATTTTTTTTCAATAGTACCTACTTTAAGTTCAAATGTTGACAACATTTATCACTTTATCAGTCTTAAAAATTTTGTAGTTGAAAATTATAAAATAATCGATTTTTACAGCAGGGATTGAACATTCAAGAATGTATTATGATTCTGATACATAACTTACTGTAACCAACAAACAAATAGTTTTTTTACAGGCATTTTAACTTTTTTAAGTTCAAATTTGAACGGAAATAAATATTAAAACTAAGAATAAGATAACATTTTTAAATTCCAGTTTTTCGGCAAATATGATTTTAACATATTGTGGTATTAATGCCAAAATGTATAATAATTAAATAAATTATCCTAATTACAATAATATCATAAAATATACTCATTAGTCATTTATTAATATTGTTGACTGACTTATTTTGGATAAAATGATTTCATATCACTGAATTCAAATTTAACCCAGCCATTACAGTAGCTCTATATACACCTATTGTACAGCAGAACATTACCCACTTGCCTGCTATTTTTACATCTGAATAATTGTTTGAACCGCAATTTCGTGCCCGACGATTTGCACCGACGGCAATACAGAGTCCAGAGTCCAGCCAGATTACTACAGGTTTTRACGATCTTTATCAACTATCGTCGTCGTAATCGCAGCTTGGACGGTCGCGGCGCGTAATAATATACGCACCAACCAGTCTACGAGAAACTTCTCGTCTCGCCTCTCGCGACCGGTGNTATACTCATTAGTCATTTATTAATATTGTTGACTGACTTATTTTGGATAAAATGTCAAAATGATTTCATATCACTGAATTCAAATTTAACCCAGCCATTACAGTAGCTCTATATACACCTATTGTACAGCAGATCATTACCCACTTGCCTGCTATTTTTACATCTGAATAATAGTATACCTAACAATAAAATAGTGTATCATCTATACAGTCTTATAATGTGTACAAGCTGGTTCTTCCTAAAAATAATTCATTATTCAAAATTACAACACCTGTTAATATTGTTTTAAATTATTTATTAATGTTAACATATTTTATGAATTTTTGTTATTTGTATTGTAATAATAATATTTTTTAAAACAGCATAACTTTTGATATGATAGAATTTAATATTAAAATACTAAAGACTGAGCTTAATCTTAACTTTAAAAATTACTTACTTTATTTTTAAAGCAGGAATCTTCAACCTGCCAGCTAACCTTGTGTAGTTGTTTGGCAGATCTGCAAATACATTTTAATTAAAATTGTATTATATAATACATAAATTTATTATGAATGTGACCAAAGATATTTTTCAAAAATAATAGGCGGCCTGCTGCTTAAAGACCTGAAGACAACTGTTTTAAAGAATTAAATCTAAATTCAGATCAAATCATGATCATATTATTAATCACGTTAAAAGATAGATTTTTTTTAATTTCTAATTAAGAAGATGTTTTCTCAGCTGCTGTTACTATTTAATGGTATATATTTTGTTAACASAATTCTCTTGCCATATAAATAGTAAGAAATATTTCAGTTATTTTATTATTATGTAGGTGTCGTAAAATTGCATGTAAACCACTTTCTTCTTTTTTAAATGCCCATACAATGCTATTATTTTTCTAGTTCAATAGAATTCATGTCAAAACATAATCCAAAATTCAGTCATACAGAAGTTTTTAAAATATACTATGACATCATGCTTCAAGAAGCAACCATAATCCTCCATTTTTAATTTAATAATCAAATACAAATCAAAGCACTTACATGATGCAATGGTTAATTGTTTATTTTTAAGTTTAAACGTAAATTCTAGATCCACATTTTATATTATTAAATAGCATAATATGGGCCCCCCTAATCTAAAATATCTACTATGATACGTGTATAGATAAATTAGGTGATCGGCACCACTATCAAAATTTGATGTTAGATTTTAGATAATACTATTTTCAACATCCAATTTTTTTTTTTTTATTTATAAACAATATTAGAAATAACCAAATATATTTTTTGTAACATATCACTAAATACTTACATTAAATTTATATAATAAATTATTCCATGCTATTAGAGAAAATAAAAACTTAAAAGCTTACATTATTGTAAAGCAACTATAAATTAAAGTGAATATATTTTATATTTTTTTATACATGCAATTTTTAAAATATTCAAAATTTAATCTTTGATAAAATATTTTTTCATAATTAATTCATAAAATTCTGCCCCTGTAAAATTAACTCATGATTTCATTGTAGACTTGTATTTAAACCACCTATTCCCTAAATCGGTTCTGCTAGCTATTAGCTAATGATATCCTGTTCAGAAAGAAACATACCACAAACCAGAATAGAATTCTCAATGATAAAAAATCAATAATATACTAATATTAAAAATGTTCTTAGCTTAAAATTATAAAGTAGTATATCTTTACATTTTTAACTGTATTTTTTAGAAGCATCAACTAAAATTTCAAGATCGGAGTACATTATTTGAAGATTCTGTATCATCTCAACCTCAATCAAGCCATTCAAGTATAATATTAAAACATCAACTGAAGCCATCTGATGAAGAAATTAAAAATAATGATGTATACCAATAAGTTTTACCTTATAATATTTTCTTATCTAATAATTTACCAAAGTAATAACGAGTATTAGTTTAATATATGAATTAAAATATTGTTATTTAAAATAGAAAAATGATGATTATACAACTTTAACTAATGGATATGATTGCAAAAAAAATGAAAATAGTTTGAAGATAAATTCAGGAATAAATACAGTTTGTAAAACTAATAATGAAATTATATTAACAAGTAAGTTTTTAAAATTTCAATTGAGTGATTAAAATAATTCTTTAATAATTTATTTAGAAAGCAATCAACTGACCAAATTTGAGAAGGATAAAAACACAAAGATGTTAGAGACAAATACAATTAATGAACATTTGCCAATCAACGATACCAGTAAAGATTATGGTGATCTTAAATCAAACATACAAGAGCAGGAATTAAGTCCTTTATCATTATTGACATCCTATAATTATCAAAAAACAGATAAAGTTGAAATTTTAGATAAAAGCTCAGAAAGTTCTGTGACAGCTACTTCTTCAATGGTAATAAATAATAATAAATTATAATTGCCTATGTTTAATATTTATTCCAGTGCCRTACTCAGGATTTGTTTTCTGRKGATGGGGACTTAAATATTTATACTTAACTCTATAGGAAAATAAGAAATAATTTAAAAATATATATATACACATATTATTTAATGTATTATAAGTTCATTTAATATATTAATGTAAATTGTCACAATTTTAAATCTTATATAGCTCCTATTATAAATCCCTTCAAAATTATTACTATGATTTGAATTCATTACGCAATACTGCATACTAAAAAAAATATCTCACCTGAGACTTTTTGGTGGGGGGGATTAAGCCCAAAAGCCCACCCCCTGAATACGGCACTGATTTATTCAATCATATATCAGACATCAGTTTAGTAATTTGTACAACTTAACTCCTGAATAAAATTGCAGCTGTGTTTTTAACAGTGGCGTAGCCAGGGGGGGTCTAAGAGGGCTATAGCCC